ACCCTGCCTGGACCCATCATGACCTCCTTCCCCCAGAACACCGCCGTTGGATCCACCTCCTCGGCTGCTGTTGGTAGCGAGCTCAATGCCCAGGGACAGCCCATCTCTGGGGGATTTGGCTTTGGCCTTGGCTATGGGCTGGGCTATGGCTATGGGCTGGGAGGCCTGGGCTGCTATGGTGGAAGGGGCTGCAACATCTGCTAAGGGCCCGTAGCACAACCCCTGACACCACCAGCTCAGGCTCTGGCAACAGCTCCTGCCAGCAAAGTCCCTTTGGCTGCTGGTTGCCCTACTTGCACTTCACACTGGATCCCTTCAGCTTCTTCTTTCTCACCATTCTTTTGCTTCAATAAATTTTTGTTGCATCAAGTCCTGAGTTGTCTCCTCTTCTTTTCGAATGCCAATGGTCTCATATCCTCAGCCTGCACAGTGACCGTGCTCAACAGGGCATTGGAGTGGATGGAAAAAGAACAAAGTACCTTTCTGAGCAGCAAATAGGTCCCTACCAGGAAAAACCAAGGCTGACAAGGGAAACGGGGTAGAGGGGAGACTTTCACAATGTGACAAAAGCCCCTTACCTAATAAACCAAAGGCTTTGACACAATTCTCTCCTGGGCACAGCTCTGTCAACGTCACTCTGTGCCAGCACACACTTGGTTAGTTTTGTTCTCAGCAGGACTCTTGAATCCTCCCAGCAAACAGAAAACATCCACTTGGGCAGGAACTGCAGAGTGCAAGTGTCTCCATCCCCTCTCCTCTCAACCAGGTTTACCAAAAGCAGGACTGTGGCCAGTTCAATTTTGGAGCTCACAGAATCAGGACCCCATCATCCCTTACAATCTGTGACCACCCTCACACTGAAAACATCTTGCCTCCTTTACCCATGGAATTCCAACTGTTTTCACTTGTGCAATTGCTCCCTTTTCCTTCATTTGTGCAGTGTTGAGAGTAGCTGGGCTCCCAAGCTGGCGACAGCCACCCCAACCCATCCTTGTCTCCTTGGAATCCCTCAGCTCTCTCAGTCCCCCTATTAGGAAAGATCCACCAGGCCTTTCAGCATCTGGTAGTTCATTCACCAAACCCTTGTGCTTCTTCACCTCTAAAGGCCAGAAATGTCCACACCACCTCACATGGGATCCCACAAGCACTCTAAAAAGAGGAAGGACCACCTATTATGACTTCATGAGAAGAATTTTCTGAAATCTACCTTGAACACTGGTAACAACCTTTGAAGTAAAGCTCTGTTGCAAACTTGTGGTTCCATTGTTCTCAATCAGAACCACAAGATCCGACTCAGCAATGCCACTTTCCAGAATCGCATCCACAGCATGATCCAAGGCCAAGGGCAATTGCTGTCCAGATTTTGAACTTCAAATTTCCTGCTCTGGAGCCTCAGGACATTCCTTAAACCCTCAGTCTCCAAGTGCCTATAACTGGTGGCACAACCAAGTGATGCCTCAGCCACTGCATCATCTGCCAACTCTCTGAGGGGAAACAGTCCCACTGCCCATATGGAATGGAGGAGTCCAGGCACTCACACCTGGCACATAGGCAAAGTTCAGACCTGCCTGACAGAGCTTTGATGGTTTGGGACCCCCTTGACAGCAAACCGACAAATATAAAAATGTGACTTCCATGGCGTGACTTCAAAAAGGACACTCTACCTCACCAAATACTGGCAACATCTTCAGTGCCCTTTGACAGTCACCATCAACACCACACTTGGGTTTGAAATACTTGCAGTTTAAAGGAGGAATGACCCCGATGGAAGGGGACCTCCTCATGCTTGGCAAAGCTGCAAAGCCCAGAGCAGCCTGACAGCTCTGTGGTGGAATGGGGTCCCACTTCACAACACACCCACACACTAAACCCACAAGTGCCACAAACATACCGGACTGATGACACCCATATTTTTCCTAGGCTTTTCTTGTTTTTTCTGGTTTCTCTGACACACATCTACCATGCAAATCTTCCCAAATTGCAATGTGACTTTAAGCTGCCACCAAGCTCAGATGGACACAGCCACAAGAGGAGGACATGACACCGAAGAGCTACAGGAAGAAAAACACTCCCAAACGCAGGACTTGCCAGGCTGGGACAGGCAAAACAGATGTTATGATTTTCATTCAGGTACCTCTCCAGAGTAACAAGGTCAACCCACTTTTTCTGAAACCGAACATCCCAGCTTCCTTCAACTGCTTCGAACACATCTTGCTTTCTTTATCCTTCACCAGCTACAAAAGAAACAATGTATGGCACTGAGAAGTATTGCAGGTGACCCTAAATGACAAGAGTTGCTTTCCCATCTCCAGCAGGAAAGGCCAGACATAGAGACAGGTTTGGACCCTTGGCAACATGTTGGGGAGACAGAGAATGGAATGGAAGTTGACAACCCTCATCCGCAAAAAAGCTGCAAAATCCAGATGAGCCTGAGATCATTGTGGAGGAATTAGGACCCATTCCAAAAAAACACCCACAAACCACAGAACAGCAGGGCCACAAAATTAGCTGATTGCTAACACCTTATAGTGCAAAGCTTGGGTCGCGTCTCCAACCCTCCCTGAAAAATATCATCATCACCAAACTTTGGTCTTCTAAAACACTCACTTAAAAGCGGCCACCAAGGTGACATGAACATGGCATTGAGAGCAGGACATGACACAGCAGAGTTATGGGCAGGAAAACACTCCCCATCTCAGGACACATCAGGCCTACAAAATGGCCCAAGGCCATGGGCCAAGGCTGTCCCACCCCTCCAGGAGCAGCATAAAAGCCGGCCCAGCGCCTCTCTCCCTCACACGCTTCTCCTCACGCCTTCTCCTCCTGCTCCTGCCCACAACCAGGTGAGCCTCAAGTCCCTCCCCCTCCTGCTCCTGCCCCCCTGGCCCCTCTCTGCCAGCACGCTCCGCCCCAGCCTCAGCAGCCCTCACGCCTCCCCACAGCCCCACAACAGCCTCCACACTCCCCAGCCCTCCGCAATCACCGCCCCTCAAAGCACCCCCACGGCCCTGCCCTGCCTCACCCCCCTCTCTTCCAGGGACCCTCCACACCACACCCATGGCCTGCTGCCGCCCCTGTGGACCCACCCCGCTGGCCAACAGCTGCAACGAGCCCTGTGCCCTGCAATGCCAGGACTCCCACGTTGTCATCAACCCTTCCCCTGTGCTGGTCACCCTGCCAGGACCCATCATGACCTCCTTCCCCCAGAACACCGCCGTTGGATCCACCTCCTCCGCTGCTGTTGGTAGTGAGCTCAGTGCCCAGGGACAGCCCATCTCTGGGGGATTTGGTGGCTTTGGCTATGGCTTTGGCCTTGGCTACGGGCTGGGCTATGGCTACGGGCTGGGAGGCCTGGGCTGCTATGGTGGAAGGGGCTGCAACATCTGCTAAGGGTGCTCGCTTAAGCTCCTGACACCACCAGCTCAGGGCTCTGGACACAGCTCCTGCCAGCAAAGGCCCTTTGGCTGGTGGTTGCCCTACTCACACCTCACAATAGATCACTTCAACTTCTTGTTTCTCTACATCCTTTTGCTTCAATAAATTTTTGTTGCATCGAACCTTGGTTTGCCTCCTCTTCTTTTTCAATGCCAATGGTCTCATATCCTCAGCCTGCATAGTGACCGTGCTCAACAGGGCATTGGAGTGGATGGAAAAAAAGGAAAAATCCTTTCCAACGAAATAGGTCAGCACCCGAAACAACCAAGGCTGACACGGGTAACATGATAGCATGGGGACCTGCCACAACATGCTCATTCACGCTCATTCACATTGTACACCAAACCCTTTGACACAACAAGACTGTCCTGCATACTCCTCTTTCAAAGTCACTCTGTGCCAGCACACACTTGAAAAATTCCCTTCCCAGCAGGACTCTTGAGTCCTCACAGCAAACAGAAGATATCCACTTGGGCAGGAACTGCCGCGTGTGAGTGTGTCCATCCTATCTCGAGAGTCTCCATCCCCTCTCCTCAAGCAGGCCCAGCAAAAGCAGGATTTCCAGGACTATGGAGAGCTCATTTTTGGAGACCTCAGGAGCAGGACCCCATCATCTCTTACACTCTGCAACCACCCTCACACAGAGAAAATCTTGCCTCCTTAACCCATGGAATTCCAACTGTTTTCACGTGTGTAATTTCCCTCTTTTCCTTCATGTGTGCCGTACTGAGAACAGGTGGGCTTCCAAATGCTGGTGACATCCCCCAGCCTATCCTTGTCTCCTCACAGTGCTTCACCTCCCTCAGTCTGTCCGCTAGAAAAGATCCACCAAGGCTTACAGTACGTGGTGGCAGGAAACTGGTCTTCATACACCAAGCCCTTGTGCATCTTCACCTGTGAAGGCCAGAACTTTCCACACCACCACACATGGGATCCAGCACTCTAAAGAGAGGATGGACCACCTATTATGACTTCATGGGAAGAATTTTCTGAAATCTACCTTGAATACTGGTGACACCTTTTGAAGTAAAGGTCTGTTGCAACCTTGTGGTTCCATTGTTCTCAATCAGCACCATAAGATCCGGCTCAGCAAAGCCACTTTCCACACTCTCAGCCACAGCATGATCCAGGGCCAAGGGCTATTCCTGTCCAGATGCCCAACTTCACATTTCCTGCCCTTCAACTTCATGAGATTCCTTTCAGCCTCAGCCTCCAGGTGCCTCTGACTGGTAGCACAACCAAGTGGTGCCTCAGACACTGCAACATCTGCCAACTCTCCGAGAGGTAACAGTCCCACTGCCCATGTAGAATGGAAGAGTCCAGGCATTCACACCTGGCAGGGAGGCAAAGCCCAGATCAGCCTGACAGAGCTGAGATAGTTTGGGAGCCCCTTCACAACACACCCACAAACTCAAAAATGTGATATCCATAGGATGACCTCACAGAGGACATTCAGACACGCTAAATATTAGTCACATCTTCAGTCCCCTTGGACACGCACCATCAACACAAGAATTGGGTCTTAAATACTCACACTTTAAAGGAGGAATGACCCCAATGGAAGGGGAAGCTCCTCATACTCAGCAAAGCTGCAAAKGCCAGAGCAGCCTGACAGGGCAGTGATGGAATGGGGACCCTCTTCACAAYACACCCAGAATCTAAACCACACAAGAGGCATGGGTTGACCTCACGATGACACCCATATTTTTTCGAGCCTTTTGCTGTTTATTCAGGTTTCCCTGACACACATCTGCCATGCAAATCATCCCAAATACCAACTCTCACTTTAAAGCTGCCGCCAAGGTCAGATGGACATAGCCACAAGAGCAGGACATGACACCGAAGAGCTACAGGAAGAAAAACACTCCCCATGTCAGGACACACCAGCATAGGCCAGGCAAAGCTTATATTACAGATTTCATTCAGGTACCTGTACAAAGTAAGGAGGTCAACACTCTTTTGCTGAAAACTGAATGCCCCCAGTTCCATCAAATACTGCTCACAAATCTTGGTCTTCTCATCTTTCACAAGCTTTGGAAGAAGCAATACAAGACATTTGGGAACATGGGAGTTGTCCCTAAATCACAGGAATTGTATTCTCATCTCCAGTAGAAAACCCCTGGCATAGAGACAGGTTTGGAATATTGGCAACCATGCTGGGAGGACAGATAATGGAATGCAAGGGGATACCACTCACCCTCAGAAGAGCTGCGAAGCCCAGAGGAGCCTGAGATCACTGTAGGGGAATGAGGACCCTCTCTATAAAAAAACCACAAACCACAGCGCACCAGTGCTGCAAAATGACCTCATTACTGACACCTTACCATGCAAAGCTATGGTGACAGCTTCAGCTCTCCCTGAAAAACATCAACATCACCAAACTTTGGTCTTCTAAAACACTCACTTAAAAGCTGCCGCCAAGGTCACATGAACACGCCATCAAGAGCAGGACATGACATTGCAGAGTTGTGGGCAGGAAAACACTCCCCACCTCAGGACTCACCAGGCCTGCAAAATGCCTCAAGGCCATGGGCCAAGGCTGTCCCGCCCCTCCACGAGCAGCATAAAAGCCGGCCCAGCGCCTCTCTCCCTCACACGCTTCTCCTCACGCCTTCTCCTCCTGCTCCTGCCCACAACCAGGTGAGCCTCAAGCCCCTGCCCCTCCTGCTCCTGCCCCCCTGGCCCCTCTCTGCCAGCACGCTCCGCCCCAGCCTCAGCAGCCCTCACGCCTCCCCACAGCCCCACAACAGCCTCCACACTCCCCAGCCCTCCGCAATCACCGCCCCTCAAAGCACCCCCACGGCCCTGCCCTGCCTCACCCCCCTCTCTTCCAGGGAACCTCCACACCACACCCATGGCCTGCTGCCGCCCCTGTGGACCCACCCCGCTGGCCAACAGCTGCAACGAGCCCTGTGCCCTGCAATGCCAGACCTCCCGTGTGGTCATTGACCCTTCTCCCGTGCTCATCACCCTGCCTGGACCCATCATGACCTCCTTCCCCCAGAACACCGBYGTCGGATCCACCTCCTCGGCTGCTGTTGGTAGTGAGCTCAATGCCCAGGGACAGCCCATCTCTGGGGGATTTGGCTTTGGCCTTGGCTATGGGCTGGGCTATGGCTACGGGCTGGGAGGCCTGGGCTGCTATGGCGGAAGGGGCTGCAACATCTGCTAAGGGCCCTTGGGAACACCCCTGAAACCACCAGCTCAAGGCTCTGGCAACAGCTCTTGCACGCAAATCACTTCAAGTGGTGGTCGCCCTATTCAAACCTCCCACTAGATCCCTTCGGTTTCTTCTTTCACTTCATCCTTTTGCCTCAATAAAGTTTTGTTGCATTAAAGCCTGAGTCGCTTCCACATCTTTTTGAATTCCAGTGTTCCCATATCCTCAGCCTGCACAGTGCCCATGGACTCAACAGGATGTTGCAGTTAACAGAAAAGCAGCAAATACCTTTTCTCAGCAAATAAGTCAGCACCAGGAACAACCAAGGCTGACAGGTGAAGCAGGGGAGAGACGCCATGATACAACCCCCATCACCTTCTATACCAAAGGCTTTGAAACAACAATTCACCCCTGGGCACAGCTCTGTCAAAGTCAGTCTATGCCAACACATACTTGAAAAATTCTCTTCTCAGTGGGACTCTTGAATCCTCACAGCAAACAGCAACAAGAGCATTCACGTGGGCAGGAACTCTGTGGTGCGATTGACTCCATCCCTCTGCTCAAGCAGACCCAGCAAAAGGAGGATTTCCAGGATTATGGTCAGTTCCATTTAGGAGGACACAGACCCCATCACCTATTACACACAGTAACAAACATCATCCACAGAGAAATTCTTTGGTTTTTTGCCAATGAAATTCCATCTATTTTCACTTCTTCCACTGCTCCTCTTCATGTGTGCAGTGCTGAGAACAGCTGGCTTCCACATAGATGGTGACACCCTTTGGCCCATCCTTGTCACCTCAGTGTCCCAGCTTTCTCAGTCTCCCCTCTAGTTAAAATCCACCAGGCCTTTCACTATCTGGTGGCCCTCAGCTGGTCTTCATACACCAAGCCCTTGTGCTTCTTCACCTGTAAAAGCCAGACCTGTCCACAGCACCACACACGGGATCCCACCAGTACTCGAAAGAGATGAAGGGCCACTAGTCCTGATTTCATGGGTAGAATTTTCTGAAATGTGCCTTGCACCCTGGTGACGTGCTTTGAAGTAGAGCTCCACTGTGACACTGTGGTCCCTTTGTACTCCACCAGCACCACAGGATCCTGCTCAGCAAAGCCGCTTTGCATTCTCTCAGCCCAAAGCATGAGCCAGGGCCAAGGGCCCTGTCTAGATTTCTGTCCAGATGCTGAATTTCATTTTTCCTACACTTGAACCTCAGAAGATTCCTTTAACCCTAAGCATCCAAGTGCCTCTGACTGGTGGCACAACCAAGTGGTGCCTCAGACACTGCATCATCTGCCAGCGCTCTGAGGGGCAACAGTCCTGCTGCCCATGTGGAATGGAAGAATCCAGGCACCCTCACCGGGCACAGAGGCAAAGCCCAGACCAGCCTGACAGAACTGAGACGGTGTAAGAGACCATATGGAAGACCCTTGACTGTCTCATGATCATCGAAAAAACCCCAAGGCGGGAGAAAGGAGTACTTTTGCTCAAAGGAGTCCAAGCCAGATCAAGGTGGGAGGACTGCCAAGTTTCCAGCTCCTAGGCTGCTGAGAACAATGGATGTAAGCTACGGATGGTCGCACTGTTCCTGAGGAGAACGGTACAGCCCACAGCCCACAGCCCATGCTGCACACCTTAACAATAGACATTCTTTCCCCACCGCTTGGCCGGCTTCCCATGCTTCGCAACCCCCCCGCCCCAGCTTGCAGCCACTTGCTTTGAAAAAGACTATAAAAAGTCTCCCTGAGAAGATCCCATCAGAGATCTCTCCCAACGGACCTTGACGACCCCTGTGGAACTTCGGAAGACTCGTCATACCGTTGGTAGCTATAGCCCACTCTCTCTCTCTCTCTTTCTCTCTCTTTTTCTCTCTTTCTCTCTCTCTCACCCTCTTCTATCGCAAAATATCCAAATAAATTGTTCCTGATTATTTAAAGCATATATATTTGCCCCCTCATTTT